TCTTTTTTTTTTAATATTTATTTATTTTTATTTATTACATTTATTTATTGTGTGTGTGGCCAGCTCAGCCCACCAGGGGGCGGGGCTGGCTGGCATGTGGTGCTGGGGATCGAACCGCGGTCCCTGTGCTTTGCCAAGCTTGTTTCAAGTAGGTGCTTTAGACCACTGAGCCATCTCTCCAGCCCCTACTTCATTTTCTTAATGGCAACATTCAACTGTGGTAATGTCGAAATGACTGCTTTTGTTTTTAGTAGACACTGATTTTGATGTTATATTGATGGGAATTTTGCCAAGTTAAGGTCACAAAGAATTTCTTTTGATTTCTTCCAGAAGTATTAAAATTTAGCTCTCTTAGGTTTCTGATTGGCTTTGTTTCATATGGAGAGCAGGCATCTTTGTGCTAATATGAAGCAGTCAGTAGTGTGTTTGTTTGTTTTTTTAACCATATGTGTATTGTTGAGTGTAGTATCCCCAACTGTTCTAGAACCACTAGGGGAAAATATCATCTATTCCACTCTCCCACCTTGGAACTGTTGCTAAAACAGCCGATCAGGAATTAGACGCTTAATTCCGGACTTACATTCTGCTCCCTTTATCTGCATGTTGACTGTGTGTCAGTCCCACACTGTCTTTCATGCTACAGTTTTATAGTAACATTTGAAGTCTTGTTATGTAAGTCCTCCAATTGTGTTCTTTATAGAATTATTCTGGCCAGTAGAGTGACCTAGGTCTTCATAAACTTCCACACACATTTTAGGATTAGCTTGTGAGTTCACAGGCACCTACACACACACAGACACACACACACACACACACACACACACACAATGTCTTACTTCCTCATCACTGGGACATAATACCTGAACACACACAACCTAGAGGAGAAGAGGCCCATTCGGCTCACAGTTTTGGTGGGTTCAGTAAATGGTTCAGTGCTTCTGAGGCAGAAGCTGCATGTTTGAAAAGCCTGGTGGAAGACAGCTGCTTGCCCCATGGCAGCCAGCAAGGAGAAAAGCAAGAATCTGGGGCCAGGGGTACACCCCTCCAGGTCACATCTGAGTGATCACTTCTACCACAGCCCTATCTCCTATCAGCATAGTGAGCTCTGAGCTCACCCACAGGTGAATCCACTGCTGAGTCGTGTCCCTAACATCTCGTCACCTCCCAAAAACCATACCTGTAAATACAAGCTTTTAAGGGACACCCAGATCTAAACCACCTAAGCTTGTAGGTGTAACAAGATCAGACTGCAGATCGGCCTGGGACATTGTTCTCGTGGTACCTTTCCCGGGACATAGACATTCATTCTCTTTAACAGATGGTCTCCAACTTCTCTCAGCCACTGTTTGCTCTGTTTAGTCTGCAGATTTGCCCCAGTTCTGTTAAACTTGTTGCTTTTGATAACATTTTGAATGAAATAATTTTTATTAAAAAGACAACAGATTTCTGGCTGCTAGTACATGGGAATGATTGGTGTTGTGTCACCCGCATCTCCAGTAAGCTACTTCGTTATTCCAACGTGTTTGGGTGGTTTTTAGGATTATGTTTCATAAATGAAGGGTCTCCCCTTGTATTCTGTGGGCCTCCTTTGTGGGACTTTGGTATGTCCAAGTGGGGACAGTGGACACCACTGCTTGTGCCATCTTAGAGGAGAGCATCCAGTCTTCTGTCATGAAGTGAAATTGGCACTATATAGCTTTTGTCAGCTGTTTTCTTTCTTTTCTTTAAATAATTTTATTGAGAAACAAATAGCAATGAGAAAGTTTCAAAACTGATTACATTAACATAGTTTCAATAGTTAATACAGGGGCCGGGGAGATAGCTCAATAGAATAAGCACTTGCCTGGCAAGTGCAAGGGCCTGAGTTCAATCCCCGGTTCTACAAAAAAAAAAAACCAAACAAACAAACAAAAAAAAAAGACATAGCCTGTCAATAGTTAATACATTGCATATTGTTGTCTTCTTAGTGATTATTCATTGTACCACATGCAGACTTGATATCCTGCCCACGAACACTATTAGTACAAATCTTTCTATTCATTGAATTAAGAGAAAGTAGCTGTATATCTATCCTATTTTTAATATACAGATATAAAATGGTCCCTCATTTGTATCCCCCCCTTTTTTTGTTTAGTTTTGTCAGATATGGGTATTCCATTGTCATTTAAATATTGTAGGTGCATGAGTTCAGCAAAATATTCCAATGTAGTCCAGTAGTCCATAATAGTAGTGGGCTATCTGTAGGACTGGCAATGTCAGAAGTTGTTGATTTGAGCCTTTTACAGCTCAGCATATTAATATACCTTTACTTTTTATACCTTGTTTTTGTACTTTTCTGCTGGATGGTTAAGACCAAGATAAAGCAAGACCTATATAACAAGAAATGTAATTTTTGTATCTGCCAAGATCAGTCAAATCCCCTCAAGATTTACTCTGAAACCCTGTACCACAGTTTGTAGATCCTTTGTCAGTGTCAGCCATGTGGATGAGTCACGGCCATTGCTTGACCAATTTGCTCTCTGTGAAAGCCTGAGAGAGTGTTTTCTCTCCATGTGACTCCTTAGGCACACTCTACATCATCGATCACTTTCCTTTGTGGCCCCATAATCTCCTTGATCAGAAAATTTGGGCCACAACTGAGTTACATGATGCTATAGTACAGGTTCTCCTACGTCCTGAATCCTCACTGACCTTGAAAGGTTAGTAGCAGCTCTTCTTTTTATCTAATTTTGGTCTACAAATTTAAGTTGTTAACCCTCTGGAAGAGAAGCTTATTATTATTACCCTACAACATAGGCAGTTGAGCTTAATCTCATTACTTGTCTGAATATCAAACATCTTAGACATAACATGAAATACGTATTTTCCATCAAGTATTGATATGTTAAACTTTTTGTTTTTATTCCTAAGTTGTTCTGATTTAAAAAAAAATGTTAGGTGTTTGATGTTATTCAACCCACTTTCTGCATTAATTTAAAGGAACAGAAGGTTTTTGTCCCTTATTCTATTAATAGTTTAGTCTATATAACTGATTTTCAAATGCTAAATCAATGTTGCATTCTTGGAATAAAATCACTAATTCTCGTGTATGATACTGTATACTCATTGCTGGACTTGCTTGGCTAATATTATCAGTGCTTTTGTCACGTTTTCTGAATACTGTTGGTTACAGCATCCTCTTTGATGTTGACACTGAGTGAGTTAATAGTGTATCGTCCTCTTCTGCCTTCTGAAAGTCTTTGTATGTAACTGGTATTTCTTTCTTAAAGTGTTTAGTAGAAGCTTGGCATAGTGACATACATCTGTAATCTCAGCACTTGGGAGGCTGAGGCAGAAAGAGGATAGTCTAGATTCCAGAAAAAGAAAATCTCAAAAAAGGCACATGTCCATGAGTGCTGGGGACATTTTATTTTATTTATTTTATTATTTTATTTCATTTTGGGAGAACTGGGGATTGAACTCAGGCCCTTGCACTTGCCAGGCAAGCGCTTATTCTACTGAGCCATCTCCCTGGCCCCCACACGGTCGGCAATGTGCCCAGCCAGATATTTTGAGCTCCTGTAGGATACTGCTAGAGGCAGCTTTTGAGTATGATTCTTTTGTGTTTTCAATTTTTCTCTTCTTCAGAGACTTGCTTCACAAGGGTTTGGTTCCTGAGGAAACATGCCAGTCTCCCTGACTGAAGCCCAGTTCACCTCCTCCCAGGGGTGAAAGTCACAGAGGACTTGGTACACATCAGCTGCTGTGGCACTTGCTCTCTGTCCTGCAGGAATATCTGCTTGTTTTGGGACCTAGATGTTGATTGTGGCAATCTGCCAGCTCATTCAAAGAGATGAGCTTTAGCACCCAGAAAAAGTCCTTTCCTGCTCCGTCTCGGAGCGCCGGAAGTGCGGCCCGCATTCTGAACTGGACAGAGATGGAAAGCCCCAGAGCACCCATGCTAGCTTGGGCTAGAAAGGCTCCATCATGTAGCTGTGTGGTAAGCATTTCTTCAGCCTTGGCTCTAGGGATTTTGCCAAAAACCAACGGTGTGGCTTCATCTCTGTGTAGTTCTTGGGGATGATCCCAGCTGCTCGCGGAGCTCTACTTTGTATGGATTCTGATCACGTGCTTCATTGAGAACCTTGAAGATGCTCTCCTTTCGAAGCTCAGCTCATCATCTGCAGTAGGTTTCAAGTCATATTTGGTGTTGGCTTCCATGTGGGTACTGCTGTGCTCAGCAGCCTGAAGAAAGGAGCAGAGGGAGTCTTCCCACTGGAGCTGAAGTGACTAGGTGCAGTGGCCCGGCCTCACCTCCCTTCTAGGAATCCTCCCCAGCGCAGCTGCCCTCCATGAGCTGCCGGCCGCAGTGTTTGAGCAGCCAGACCCTCTGTGCTCCCTGGGGCAGCATCCACTCCAGTCACTGTCAGTGCTTCAGCTTCTCCCGCAGCAGGCCAGGAAGATCTTGAAGTGGTCATGGTCATTTGGTCCTGATACTTATCGGGTGTCAGCTTCTCTGTTCTCTCTTTCCAAGGCAGTTGTGACCGCAGGGGCCACGTAATTGGAAAGGAGGCTACCTTCCTGGGTGAGAGGCAAGGCCAGGCCTGGGGACTTCATAATGAGCCAGAGGAATCTGCGAGCCCTGATTCCATAGCAGCACTACGGCCATAACACAGACTGTCTGCATGCATTGTGTTTGATGTCTGTGAGTCCAGAAATTTGTCCTGCTGGTGGCCAATGGGACTTCAAGCTCTGCCTGCACACAGCAAGGAAGCCTCGCTTTTGTCTGGCCTTGGCCCCCATGCCGCCCACTGCACAATGACAGTGGCCCCTAGGGTGACAGATCCCTCAGGGGGAAGGGCCGGCATGTTCTCTGTTGGCACTGTGCAGAGATCTGGGCTGCTCACCTGTCAGCTCACATGTCTCTGTTCTTGGCGGCACATGTGCTGGACCAGCAGCTGTGGGGAGCGGGCTGTGGGGCGGGGCCCTCGGCTGCTCCACCAGCAGCCGTGCAGCCCCACTCATGGCAGCAGGTGGTGGAGGGGCTGTGCGAGATTCAGTCTGCGGTGCTTTGCTGGACTTGGCTGGTCTTGCCCAGTCCTGCTGCAAGCCATTGTCCTGCCCTGGTAGCAGCCAGGATGGCCTGGGAGTTTTCTGGGCCCAGCACATCTTTCCTGGGTGACCTGATTCTTGCCAAGGGCCTGGAGAGTGCAAGAAGCCATTATGCAGGGCAGGTGGGTTAAAGGGGCCACAAGGAACCCAGGTTCCAGCTGAAGGGAGCTGGGTGCGTGACCAGGAGCAGGCTCTACAGGAGCCATCTGGGCTATAGGGGGACCCACTTTCTGAAGCCACACACAAGCACACATGCAAATACGCTGCACGTCACTCAGACCACATGGACACCCTACATGCCACGTGTTCATACTGCACACCACAAATACTACACGCTATATACACACTCATACATACCACACAGATACTACATACACATATCACATAGATACACACAGACACATGTCGCACATACACCTCCTCCCAGACTTAATCATACATATCACATGGCACACCACCCTGCTCACACATGCACTCACACACCACCCTGGGAACGAGACGCAGAGGGACAAGTGCACCTGTGGAACTGCCTCCTTCACGGGCAGCACCAGCTGCGTCCTCCCTGGTGGCTCTGGCCCTTGCTGTAAGCGGGCATGCTTGATGTAGTCAAACGTGCTTTTGTTCTTGATCACTGGAAAGGAGAGTGCAGAAGGCGGCTCAGCAGCAGCTGCTCATCCCCACCCTTGACACCCTCCAGGGAGTGGCCTCTGTGCCCTGCCGTATGAGGCCAGGGTGGGGCTTGGGCGTGAGCACCAGGCCTTGGGGCACAGCAGTGGGGTGCAGCAGGCCATGTGGCTGGCTAGTCTTTGTCACTTGGGTGGGCAGCTGGTTTACTGAAAGTGAAAGTAGGCCAGACTCTGGCTTCAGCTCACACTTCTGCAGAGGGCCCAACTGTTTCTCCCTGAAGCCAGCACATACGAGGCAGCTAGGCTGTGCAATTATTTCTGGAAAGCACAGGGTGCCCACAGAGCCCTCTTTCCAGCCCAAGGTGCATGTGGGCGCGGTTGGCGACTCTGGGCTCGAGTGCAGGTGCAGGGGCCTCTGCTCCAGTGGCACCAGCGTTTCCCAGCCTCCAGGCCTCAGAGCTGCGTGGGGCTGAGCAGCAAATCTGCCCCCATGTGTGCTTTCCTTTGAACGTCCCTTCATGCCCATCTCTGCAAAGCCGCCTGCACTGCCCATAATAAGCTGTCAGTGGGGCTGCGCCTGCCCCAGATGCATCCCAGGAAATGTCCCGACCAGGCTGCCAGGCTGAGGCAGGGAACTCAGACTTCAGGAGCGAAGCCTAAAGCTGGGCACTGTGTCCTCCCGAGTGACCAGGTCCAGCAGCCACTTCAAGTGGCCTGAGGAGCTCTGTCCTTCCCCATGCTCATTCAAAGTGCTGCCTCCTCCGCCTTCCCTGGCTGAGGTGAGCTGGGCGCTGCCGTGGGCACCAGGTGCCTGCAGCTTCCCGCGAGTGTGCCCACTCTCTCTGCCTCGCACAGAGCCTCACAACGTGCTACCCCGGGCACAGGTCAGACCTGGACTCCCTCTTCTCCTCAGCACTGCCCTCCTGCCTGCCACTCCATGAGTGACTCTGCTCCGCCACGCTGCCCTGCGTTGGAGCCAGCTGACTGTGGACTGAACCTTCAACAAACTGTGAACAAAAATGAACTTGCCCTCAGGGCTGTGGGTGTTGGGTTGTGTCCCGGCACAATGAGAAAGGAACTGAGGTATCTGTTATCCCATCCACAAACATGCCCTGACTGCCTCTGCACACAGGCACCCACTGGGCCGGGTCTCAACACAAATCCCCAGCAGAGTGAGAGCTGCGCCACAAGACTTAACCCAGAGTCTGCACTGTGTTTTCACAAAAAAAAAAAAAAAAAAAAAAAAAAAAAAAAAAAAAAAAAAAAATCCATGTCTCGGGCCAGAGGCCAGGAAAGAGTATGTCACAGCACCTGTGAGCCAGGGTGACACTGTTGGTAGGGTCACCTGGGGCCACGCAGGGATCTGTGTGAGTATGACATGGTCTAGCTGAGACTCAGGCCCTTGCCTGGCTCCCCAACCCTTGGGTGGGAATGAGGCAGACCTCAGACATTGGTACCCTGGTGTCCATGGAATCCTAGGCCCCAGAGAGGCTTACCAGCTGGTGATCCCACAGAGGAGGAGGGAGGTGGCCCTGCTGTGCACCTCACTCTACAGCATCTACCTGTTGCTTTGCTAAACCCACATGGTCTCTTTTCATAGTATTCTGCTCTTTTTTTTTTTTTTTTCCCCCCATGGAACCAGGGATTGATCTCAGACCCTTGCGCTTGCCAGGGAAGTGCTTATTCTACTGAGTCATCTCCCCGGCCTTCCTGCTCTTTCTTGTCTGACTCTCCTGTTCTTTTGCCTCTGACCATTCTAAACTCATCTCAAAGATGCATGCTAAGAAGCATGCATCTTTGAGATGCAGGTCCCGGAATGTGACAGCTGGACTTGCTGCCCTTCTCTCTCTCTGTCACTTGACCCTTCTGCCACACACACATGCCTGGTGGGCAGCCCAAGGCCAGGATGGGGTAGGGCAGCTAGGTGAGTACGCACGCAGGTAGATATGGAAGACAAGCAGGTGCCCGAGAAGCACAAAGCTGACCACGCCCACCAGCAGCATTCCGCCCATCATACAAAGGGCCACAGGGGTCTTCACAGGCACGTGCCACCTGGGCAGGAACAGCAGCCATACAGTCACAGCGCTGATGTCTGGGGAGACACAGGCACAGGCATTGGCATCATGGAGGCAGGGGCACACAGGGTCCCTACAGCTGTCCCCACTGCAGTCCTGGCTGGCGGTCTGAGGAGGGGGTGGGTAGCAGAGCCCCCAAGCCTGGTCCTTCACTCTGTCCCCCAGACCTGGGCTCCACACCAGCCTTCCACCTGTGCAGATTACCAGCCACACCTGGCAGGATGCCACCAAGGTGGGGTCTCCCAGGACCACAAACCACAGCTGGCAGAATGAGGCATAAGGAATGACGGGGCTGTGTGGGCAGACACAGCATGACTTCTCAGACCTGCGGAGGAAGCCAGGTTGAGCTGCTGTGCTCAGGGCTTGAGCTCTGTGCAGGCTTCCAATGAGCTAGCTGGGTGGGAGTCACTTCAGTCCACAGTCAGGGAGCTGCACAGAGTCACCACACTGCTGCACAGGACCGGTGTGTGCCAGAGAGGTGCCCACTTCTGCTCACCTCTGCCAAGGCCATACATGGGGCTTAGTCTGAGATCCAGCTGCCCTGGCCTCTCCTGCTATTTCTGTACCCCCAGTTGTCCCAGCCTCTCATTGCACCCCACAAACATCCATGACCCAGATGATGTGCGGCTACTTCAGGAGACACTTTGTGACCAGGGAGGAGAGCTTGTGGAGCTCCAGGATCATGAGATTGTGTCCACAGGCGGAGCCCATATTCAGAAAGAAGTCCAGGGTGGGTGGCATTGTTCTACCTAGTACTCCCAGAGCTATCCTTGGAAGAACAAGAACATCCGCCGTGTTGGCTGAGTGTGTTCCATGGTAAGACAGCAGGCACCACCCTCCCAAGTGGGGGCATGCAGATGTGCCCGCTCCAGTCCCAAGATGAAGAGTCAGAGCTGCCACTACGTGCTGCAGTTCCTGTGACACATGATCACAAATTGGAGATTCTCTAGCCACAAACCTTCGCCTCACACTCTGCGGCCACAGTCTGAATGACATAGTGGACAATGTCCTTCCTCCAGGCCCCAAGGGGCATCTCCCACCTCTCCCAGCTCTGGGGCATCTCTAGGTGTACAGGGGCTGCAGGGCTCCCGCCTCTGCCCCATGTGGCCTCTGTGTGTCTATGTCTTCTCTTCTGTGTCTTGGAAAGACAATGGGCCTAGTTGTGGATGATCTAGACAAGATCTTCATCTAGAGATCCCTTGTCATGTCTGCAGCTCGGTCCTGGGTGTGAACAGTTTGAGGGGCATACCCAACCCGCCATGCCTTTCCCTCTCAGTGCAAATGCAGGTGCCCACGGCCCAGGCTCCTGGGCCTGTGCTCGGAGGTGGATCTTGGCTGTTCTCTGCTCTTCCTCTCCTGACAGTGGCTCTTAGAAGGCAGACCCTGGCCTGCTGTACTTGCATGGCCTCACTGGGCCCCAACAGATCGAAGAGAAGGCTGTGGAGAGGTTAGAGGGCACAGAGCACCTGCTTCCAGGGTCCTGGGCAGCCCTTGGGTAATGTTGGTTACAGATTAAAATGTCCCCAAAGGTCTCGTGATAGAAGGCAGGGCCTGGTTGGAGGTGGTCACTGGGGTGTGACCTGGAAGAATGTATTCTTGTCCCCCACTCATCCCTTCTCTGCTTTCTGGCTGCCAGGAGGTGAGCAGCTGTCTCCCACTAGGCCCCTGCACCATTACACTCCTGCCTTGGAGCCAGCTACCCACGGACTGAATCCCCCAAAACCGCAAGCCAAGTGAAACCTCTTCTTCACATTGTAGATGTCGGGTATTCTGTCCCAACAGTGGGAAAGGTGACTGATATGTGACGACACAGAGCTGCTTGTAAGCTTGGCTCACCACTTAGACAGACTTCTTCCCAGAAAGGTGGCCCGAGTTGAGGCAGAGGCTCGGCACCCTCACAAGGGCAGCCCAAGCGGGAGGCACTCCACATACTGCATACCTTTGTAGCTGGGATCCGTGCGGAGTTTGTTGGGGTTGATGAAGTGCTGGATGCAGACGTACAGCAAGAGGACCTTCGTGCAGAGCAGGCCTATCAATGCCGAGGCCACGGAGCAAAAGAAGAACCTGCAGGAGCAGAACATGCTGGGGACACCGGCGAGGGTAGGCTGACCCATTGTGGGCATCCTACAGGGAGACCAACCCTGACAGCCCTTGGGCCTCCTTTGTGTCCTCTCAACCACCTTCTAAGTTCTCTGGGCAGACATCCCTGGCCAGCAACCTCACAGCCATGCCCTTGCTCCCCAGTCCTCTGCCTGAGCCCTCTGTCTGTCTGTCCTGCTGTCTGGACAAGACCCCTGCAGTGAGAAAGGTGGTCCCACACAGCGGCAGTGCCAGAGCCCACGTGAACAGCAGAACTGGCATCTTCCTGAGAGCTCACGCACTTGGCCAGGCCTTACGTCTCCTAGGCCTGCACTATTTCCTCAGCCCTTGCTGGTGCTGGTGAGGCTGCATGCTTCCCCGGGCCTGTGAGGCCAGAAGCTTGTGTCCCTGCCACGCTCTGCAGACCGCATCAGCTCCAGGGCCAAGTCCCGCTCAACTCCACTGTGCTTCCTCTGCGTGAGGACACCTGGCCCAGACACGTCCCGGGAGCCCCACACATCCACTTCCACCTGCAGCCTAGACATTCTTTCCCAATGCTCTCGGTCTGCTTGCTGCTCTGGGATGGCTGCCTGGGCCTTGAGAGGGCAGATGGCCCAGGACAGTGAGACCAGGAGACCCAGCCAGTTCCTGCAGGCCAGGGCAGGGTCTCAGGGACCAAATCGGTGGGCACATCCAGGGACAGTTCTGCCAGACAGTTCAGGACAAGTGGACACAGGCACCAAGCCTGCTGTGTGGGCCAAGGATGTGGCTAGCTCTTCCCCCATGTGTCCCATGGTCCACAGCTCCTCACCCCTCAGCACCCCGCCCTCCTGGAGGTCCTCCTAGGATGGAGGCACCTATACTCCCGTGAAGGACCCTGGCCCTGTGAGCCACTCCCAATGCCTCCACCAGCCCTCACCAGTAGTTCCTGCTCCCCACGCAGTTGTTCAGCCACTTGCAGTGGTGGTCGAAGCCGGCGACACACTTGTTGCAGGCACTACAGTGCTTGGCTTTCTCATGCCTGAGAATTTGAGGGAGCTCATTGGCCCAAATGTGTGGGTAGCATATGGGGCTTGGATCCCTAGTACACAGGGGCCCTAAGACCTAAGATGTGACCCAGCTGGGCTATGTGGCCTTGCCTTCCCCTTTGTGAGAAAACAAGGAAAACCCAAAGAAGATTCCTTTGTGCCCTGGGCTATATGGAGAGGGGTACAGGTCACAGAGACTGAGGGCCCCAGCTGAGTTGGAAGCACTTGACCAGGTGGGCAGGCTCAGCTGTCACCTAAGGGCTGTGGGGCTGGGGTAGACTCACACGGTGACCTCGCATAGGTGGCAGTACAGATTCTGGATCACATGTGGGTGCTGGGAGCGGTCAAAGGTGGGCATGGGCTTGGAGTAATTCTTGAGTCGGACGTTGGCTTCAGCCGGGTCGATGGTGACTGCAATAAGGTGGACAACCAAGTGGAAGAGGAACACAACACCGGTCACCTGGGTGTCAAGGAAAACATGGCTGGGCCAGGTGAGTAGGGCGCAATGCCCCTGGCTCACTGTTCCCCATGTCCTGAGAGGAGCCCACACTCAGGGATAGGCCCAGCAGGCCAGCCTTTTCCACCTTCTGACTGCACGCTCATGCTGAGGTTTGTGGCAGAGCCAGGCTGGGGTGAGGCCCCGCGGTTTCCCCTGTCCCTGTCCTGCTTTGCAGGTGTGTGGGTTCCAGCTGCAAGCACGCATGCTAGACCAGCCACAGGTAGAGGGTCCAACACCAAGCATAGCCCAGGTAGAAAGAACCCTGCCCCTCAGGGACGTCTGGGCTCTTTCCAGCCAGGACCAGCTGGCCACAGCAGGAAGGGTTCTATGCCCTGGTGAGTAGGAGGATGTGCTCAGACCCCACACTCCCCTCCTTGCCTGGGAAAACAAACAGGAGGGCACAGCACACAGGCCCCCACCCTCTGCACTGGGCAGCCAGTGCATGCAGGTCCCTGTGCAGAAGCCAGGTGGGTGCCCAGCAGCAGGCACTCCCTGCCCAGTAGGAGAGGAAGGCCAGGTTGTGATCAATCTCTGAAGGAGCCCTGCAGGTTATGCTAGGGCCAAAGCCTATAGGCGGGCAATGCCCAGCCCCACAGAGCTGATGTGGGGCTCGGTGAGTGCTCCACCCCACCTGAGGAGGATCCCAGACAAGTCTCACAGGGAAGCAGATTCTGCCCCACCTGCCCAGGGTAACATCGGGCACGGGAAGGGTCCTGGTGTCTGTCACACGTGTCCTTGACAGGGCACAAGGGGCTGACTGTGCTGTCCCATGAGGGCAGGCCCTCAGCCTGTTCCTACCACCACCCAGCTCCTCCTGCCACATCATGGGTGGTGCAGATGAGTCTGCATCCCATAGGCTGCAGGTAGCCGCTGGGCACATGCTCAGGTGGGTGGCAATGCAGGACCCACAGTGTGGGTGGCTCTGCACCATTCTACAGGCTGAGCCCTGGCCAAGCTGTCTATTTGTGTGGTTACTGGGGCAACAGGTGTGCGTGGGAGCCTGAGACATGGAAGGCAAGGGCTGGGGCCATGGATGGGCAGGACCTGTGTGGCTCCTTCCCTGGGGCTGAGCAAGCTCAGCGGACACAGCAGGCAGGGAAGGCGAGCAGGGAGGCAGGGCTTGGGTGGGCACTCAGCCCTAGGGGAGGCTAAGGAAGGTGCCCAGGCCTTGGGCGCTATGCCCTGGGACATTCACATGTCCTGCTGGGGGCCAGGCTGCTGCAGTGGACCCTGGACACTTGTGCCTCAGGTGGAGATGCTGGACTTCAGCCTCCCAGGAAAACCTGCAGAACCAACTTCCTTGGGGACACTGAGACTCTAGGTGGAGTCCCCACCTGGATACCCCCTCCCCCCATACGAAGTTGTGTCCAGTGAGGACCAGGTTTCCGCCACAGGGCACAGCCTCTGTCCCTGCCCCTGCCTGTCAGCCATGACTGGGCGTCTCAGGTCAGGAGGACAAAGGTGAGAGAAACAGGGTGGCTGCCAGCCCAGGCCTCCTCTGGAAGTTTCGGTCTGGGAGCGCAGAAGCCCAATGTCCCTGGCAACAATCTGTGTTTAGTAAACAAACCGCGGGAGGGAGCCAGTTTGTGAGATACACGCCCTTCACCCTCCTGACACTGTGACCTTGCCCTGTCGTCCTGCAGGCAGGAAGAGAGGGGTGGGGGAGCTGCGAGTCCCTTCTCTCAGCCGCCTGTCCACTCCAGGGCAGCTCTGCGTGGAGAATTTGGCCGGCACAGAGGGGCGCTGCTGAAGATCCCCCCTCCCCCCACCTGACGCCAGGGCTGTGATTATCCCAGCCTGTGGCTGCCAGAGAGATGTCCCCAGGTTAAATAGAGCTGCAGAGTCCAACCACGCGGCCCCCTCTGCAGGGAAGATCCATGCCAGCCAGCCTTGTCACTGAGGACCTGGAGGACTGAGGGTCCCCCACTGGGCACTGCCCTCCACGGAGCAAACCCCACCTCCGGGCCAGCCCAGTCACTCTCAACCCACAGGCCTTGGGGGCCACAGATGACGCTGGCGCCCTCCAGTGGCTGCAGCGCAAGCACGGTGAGTGGGAAGTGGGGAGTGGCCACAGGAAGCCTGGCACTGGCCGGTGCAGGATGGAGGGCGAGATCAGGGTTCTGGGAGGACAGGGACCCCACAGAGAGCAGGCAGAGCTCACACACAGAGAAGGCCAAGACCAACACCAACACAGGATCAGGGACGTGTGAGGGCCACATGCCTGACTTGGAATCAGGGTTTCCTTCTGCTGACAGCAGAGGTGAGATGAGGCCATCAGGTGGGCCCTGCCCCAAGGGACTGCAGGCCTCTGGGGAAGGGACTAGACTGAGGCAGGCTCCTCAGGGCTGGTGGGGTGAGGACACAGCTGGGGACAGTGCCTTCCATTTCCCCTACCTCCACCTCAAACTGTGAGACAAAACAACTTGTGAGCCAGATGTGGGGGCCCGTATCTGTAATCCCAGTATGCTGAGAGGCTGAGGCAAGAGGATTATAAATTCAAGCCCCAGTCTCAGAAACTTAGTGACTTAGCAAGATTCTGTCTCAAAATGAAAAAATAAAAAGGCCTGGGGATGCAGCTAAGTGCAAGGCCCTGGGTTCAATCCCAGGTGCCACAAAAGCCAAATCAATACAATTGTAGTTTGAGGTACCCAAGGTGTGGCAAAGACAGGGCCTCAGTGATGCTGAGGGGGATGTACATCCTCAGTGATGTAGCCAGGGTGAGATAGCGGGAAAGGAGGACAGGGAGCAAGCAGAGAGCCCTGTGTGGGACCAGTGAGCAACAGGTGGGTGGCCAGCCATCTATGAGGCCACCCTGTAGCCCGTGTCTGCCAGCAGCTGCTCTGGCCATCCACATGTCCCCCAGCAGGCCTGGCCCCAGACATCCATGCTGCTGTGGGAGGTGCAGCCCTGTCCAGGCCATACTGTGGCTGGAACTGCAAGGCAGGTGTGATCTGTGGAGCCGGATGCCACCCAGGGCCCCGGAGACGCTGAGGCTGTGGCCATGTGGCCATGCACAGATCCAAACAAACCTCCCCTAGGACCATGGGGTTGGAGTAGGAGGGTGAGATGAGCCATGCGGGATTGTGCTGTCATTACCAGTGTGGGTGCCATGCCTGGGCCAGAGCGAGGGGCAGAGAGCACTGGCTAGAGACCCTGAGTTGCCTTGACACTCCAACCTGCCCACCTACCGTGGACAGTGTCACTGGTACTTGTGGTCTGTGAATACAGGGCCTGGGTGCAGGGTTACCCAGGAGCGTGTGGCAGGCTGTGCACAGGTGCAGGACAGGAGAGCAGAGCGGTCAGCCTGTGGAGGAAGGGGCCTGGCTGGCAGAGGCTGAGTCTGCAGAGGACAGGACAGCTACACCTCTGACAACCTGAGCCCCCATGCCTGTCCAGGCCTGGCTCAGACCTCCCTGCTCCAGTTGGGCTAGAACCCAAGCCTTCTCAGCAAAGGCCTCCTGCGGAAGTAGAGCTGCTGCCCACCTCCTAGGGTCCCCCTGCAGCCACTACTCTTCCTCAGAACATCTCCGGCTGCAATGGAGTTACCAGAGGGGCCAAGGCGCAGAGGGCCTAGCATCCAGTGTGTGTGCATGGCCAGCGCCGCGCACCAGGGCAGCCTGGGACCAGGAGACACTCGCCCAGCTGGCCTGGCCCTTCCTGGTGTGCAGCGGGAGGCCTTGCCTGCTCAGGGAAGCAGCAGCTGCCCAGGGCACCCAGCACCAGAGCTGATCCCCGTGTCCCGAAGACATAGCCTTAACTTCTCAGCTAGACTGGGGGGAGGGAGTGTCCTGCACATGCCAGTAGAAAAATTAGCTTTAAATATTTACATTAGAAGCTAGAAAAGGCCACACATCAATCCCAGTTTCCACCTTAAAATGGAAAGGAAAGGACTGGGCAAACCCAAAGAGAAAGAAATAACACAAATGCAACCAGATATTTGAAAAAAAAAAAAAAAAAAAAGACAGTTAATGCATACTAAAGCTGATTTGTATAAACAGGACTAAAGGCTGATGAAAGAAAAGAGCAGGAATTCAGCTCAGGCACAAACGGCGGCGGCAGGGCCCTGCAGACACAGAAAGGGAAACGGCCCGCTTGCAAACAAACAACGTCGGCCCAGGGAAACGTGGCAATTAAATGAAATAATCACATTTCCTGAAAATACAATTTAGCCAAGTGGACAGGAGATGAAACAGAATAGCTACACAGCCTTTTACCCTCTAAAGACATTGAATTCATTATCAAGAGCCTTCCTGCCAGACGCCTCGAGCTCTGAGAGGAGATGGCCCAGCTCACTCTGGTGCAGTGCAGGTGCGGGGCGCCCTGGATCCACAACCACAAGGGGGTCCCCTGGGTGCAATGAGGCTGAGAGACTGTCAGGGGCGTGGTGGTATCCAGGTTGCTGCGTGACTTGCTAGTCACGAACGAGAGCAGTGGTCTTGAGAGTAAAGTCCAAGGCTTGCAAAGCAGCTCCCAGAAGGGAACATGAGAGGCAACACCGGCCTGCAGAGCCCTGGTGGCTGAGGTGGGTGACAGGCACACGGGGTCATTTGTGCTCTCCCTTGCCTGAAAAAACAGTGCCAGGAAGAGCACCCAGCTCACAGGTGGCGGAGCTCCGGGATCCCGCCTGGGCCGTGAACACAGCTGCTCACCTCGCTGCTCTTGCCTGTGTCCTCCGCTGCCCCCGCCCACCAGCCACGTGGCCCCAGTCACATCACTCACCAGTGCCTACAGGGATGGTAAAGCAAAGCCAAGGGCCACGCAGCGGCACAGTCTTGTGGAGGACGTTCGGCTCCAGATGTGACACTTGCACAGGGCCACTCTGCACCCAGTGCCAGCCCCCCAGTCCCCAACATCACAGCTGCCAGGGCCTGGCCAGTTGGGTGTGACACGGAGCACGTCCCTTCCCACTGCCTTCCGGGTGCAGCCTCTGAGGGGACCCAGCTGTGATATTTACACAGTCGCCAGGCCCACCTGTCGCCGGCCCACAGCTGCAGTGTGCTCACTGACGGGGCTGCGTGGGCAGGGGCACACCGTGGAGCGCAACTTGCTTCCCAAGTCCTTTCTTATTTACCTTACTCCTCTTCTGAGGACAACACAATTGGCCTGGGGTGCTGCTGTGCAGCTCCCTCCCTTTCCTGAGGGCCGCCCATTTCCAGCATCCTTTCACTCCCTTGGTCCAGCTCACAGCAGTGTGTGGACCCTCTGCACATGGGGACAAATGGCTGAGGCACACAGGTACAAGGAGAGAGCCCACAGAGACCAGCTCTATGGGAGACCAGAGGAGAAGTCCTCCTTCCTACCTCCACCCCATCAGGAAGAAGGATACGGAGTATGCAATGTACTTCCAGATGCTTGGCAGGAGTGGAATGACAATCCCAAAGACAAAGATGGACAAGACCAGGTAGATGGCCCAGGCTACAGCCTGGAAGGGGTGGAGGGGCGGCGACCAGCCATTCACCCTGGACAGGTGGCGTGGTGGGCTCTTCAGGCTGCTGACCTGGGCCTCCGGGAGGACCTGCCGCAGGCTCCTGCTGAAGACGTCCATCTGTAAGATAGAGGGCCATGGAGGCTGTCAAGCTCAGGGTGGAGCGGGGAAGGGCTGTGGGACCCACCTGCCATCACAGGCAACACCTGGGCATAGAGTCAAGAGCTGATACCTGGCATTGCCCAGGGCTGCTGCAGCACACCTGGGGTTAGCTGGAGCGAGCTAGTGCCTACCTCCATGGGCCACAGCTGGCACCCCTGGGCACAGCCTCAGGAGCTCTTGAGACTGCAGAACCCAAAGACACATGCATGTCTACCTGGCTGGGCCCAGGTAACCAGGCGTGTCCAATCTTGGGGGAAGCCCTTGCATCTGAACAGTGGCATGAGGGGCTCTGAAGTCACTTTGGGCCCATCAGGGGTGGGTGGTGGCTGGCACTAGAACTAGGGTGTGGAAGATGCCTGTGGCTGGGAGCTGCCAAAGAGGAGCTTTGCAAAAGATGGCCTTATGCAAAGCTTTGCTGTCCCTTTGGTAAAAATCATTCACAAAATGTAGCAATCAAAGCACTTTACGGAGAGACTGAGGAACGTTCTGAGACTCTCGTTCTCTACGGGTTCTGCATCCCCTGGGCTCCCTGGAGCCCACCGTGGCTGCTGGGCTCCTGTACTCTCTGAGAGACCCCAGGTGGGCATGGCCTGTTCTCAGTGGCCTGACTCTGTCTGAGGAGCTCCAGGCAAGTGTGCTTATTGTGACTCTAGGCCACAGTACTGGGGTAATGATGTGTACTGAAAAAATACAACCGCCCACTAGACACAGTCCAGATGAAAGTGGTGGCAGGAAGATGATGCCGGAGATCAGAACTGTACTCTGGAAGGTCAACAGGGAGGTCGCAGAAGGCAGAGTGGCCAGACAGATCAGGAACCAAACCCTCTGAAACTGAAGCCCAATTAAACCTTTGCTACCTTGTATTGTGGTGTCAGGTGTTGTGTCCGGCAACAAGAAAGCTAATCCAGAAAATTGGTATCAGGATGGAGGTCTTGCTGTGAGCGTACCTAACTATGTGGTTCAGAAACCTTTGTGACTGCTTTATGGGAGGATTTTGGGAAGTTTGGAGGCGCCAGCTAGGGAAGTCCTAGATTGGAGTAGGCACAGCCTGATGATCTGGTCAGAGCTCAGACCAAATTGTTACAAAAAAGCAGACAATGAAGACAGACTCACCAGGTTTGTGAGTCTTCAGTGCAGAGCAAGGACTCCACTGGCAATTACACCAGAAGTTGTGCGCACTACGGTCTCCTCCTGCCGCCACAAAGCATCTTATTTTGCTCCTATCCTGAGAGTGAGGAAGACTGAGGACTGAGGTGAAGGGTGGAGATTAACTGATCTAGCATAGGACATTTCAAGATAGCCAACTCTCAGGCTGTGGCATGGGCACTGCTGACTGCTTTTGGCTTGATTTATAGTGAGGATTGAGGTCAAAGAGTGGAGCAAAAAGTTTTTAAATGTGGCCCAGAAGAAGCCATGTGTAAAATTAGGGACAAAAGAGGTGTGCTACTGAAGGGGTGAATGCCATTTAAAAGAAAATGCACAGGGATAATACAAAAGATGCTTTCAGGGCACCTCAGAAATCAGAAAGACACCACCGTCACAGGCTGAAGGGTGAAAAATGGCAGCCTTTCATTTAAGAAGAGTCTGTGGCATCTGCCCAAGAAGGAATTGGTTCCCTAGGGTTTATTTTGTGTTCAGTCATTCAAACACTTAAAGCCCCTAGCAGCCATGATTCTAGGGGGCCTGGCTACTGCTTATACTGACAGCAGACCTTGGCATTGTCGACATGATGCTGTTTTAATCAGCATGCCAAGTGCAAGACTTGTGGGGTCAGGATGGCTTCCATCTTGATTATAAGGAAGGCCAAGCAAGGAGTCTCTGAGAGGGAAAGGTGTGAAGCTATGGGAATGAAGTCAAAGGTACAGGGGGTGACCCTAGGAACCTCATCACTTCATGGAATAGGAACACCTTACAAGGAATGCTACAGGCTGTGAGTGGAACCAGCCTGAGAGATTGTGCGGGCCCACAAGGCCACAGGCATAGAGTGGAGCTGCTGCCCAAACTGCTGCAACCCTCACCTCACCATCATTGCCTCAGAGCCCAGATATGGAGCTACAGGTCTCCTGTTGTCCCACCCTGGTTTCAGTCTTGCTTTGGTTCAGTTCTTTCCTATTCCCCTATTTCTCCCCTTTGGAATGGGAGTGTTTACCCTACACTATTGCATCTTGGAATTATGAGATTTTATTTTATTTTCATAGAGAATCCCAGCTGAGTTTGCCTTGAATCTCAGAATAGGCTTTGACTTTTGAAAAATTATTGGACTGTTGGGACTTTGTGGAAGATATTAACACTTTTTAAGTTGCACACAGAACTGCGGTATCATGCTAAGCAGAATTGTGAATTTGCTATGTCTTTATTTGTGGATGAAGTATGGGTTAAATATTGTTTAAGCAGCTGTATCTGGGGTGGATTGTGACCATTAATCAGGATGTGTCAAATGGAGTGGATCAAGAAATGCCTAGGGGATTAGTAAAGTTTATTTCCGGGTGTGTCTGGTTGGGTCAAGGATATGCGACCTAGGTACTCTGTATGGTCTATGCCACTTCCTCTCTGGCACTGTTCCCCTGCTCTGCTTCCATTCTGCTGTGAACTAAGCATCTCTGCACCATTCACCCAGATCCACCGCGATGGTTCTACCTTGGATCAAGCTGACCATGGACTGAACCACTGAAACTCTGAGCCAACTGAAGTTTGTCCTTTCAGTTGTGAATGTTTTAGTGACAGGAAAGCTTACACAACAAAGTCACTGGTCAAAAGATTGTCCCAGATACAGGGTGAGGACCAGGTCAAACCTTTATTTTGATCTTCAGAGCAAAGTATCTTGTAAAATATCACTTTGATCTATGCAGCAAGTTACTTAGTCAACCTACACAGACCTCCAAGGCAATGTATCTGACCAAACCGTTACCCAGACCCATGAAGTAAGTTACCTGGTCAAATCTTTACTCAGACTTATAAGGCAAGGTAGCTGCTTAACCTTTGACTCAGACCTGAGTCCCATTTAGCTTTTCCACTTGTCCGGTAAAGCTTGTGTCAGACCTAAGCAATAGCACCAAGATTGGTGTGACCTCTTTAGTCTCTTCTCAAGGCATGGGACTGGTCATGTTAGAAATTCCTATTACCTTGTTTAGTGAAATTTTGTATTGTTTCTAATCTGTTTTCTTGTTACTTTTTTGTATTCTTTAAAAAAATAAAATAAAATAAATAATCTCAACAATTAAAAAAAAGAGAAGAGAGTACCTAAACTGACCAGAGAGGCTGGATTACACACACACACACACACACACACACACACACACACACACCCCAAGGGACAGAAGAACTTCCTTGCACACCTTTTCCTTTTGAGGGAGTCTGATCTCTAAACATTTCTGTTTGTAAATTTCAAATACTCTTTCCATGAGTTTAGAATACATGTAGAGAAGAAAATGCGTAATTTTCTATTTTGAGTTGTACTTTCTGGGAGGTTAGAAAAATCAGGACCAGCCCCTGAATGGTGGGCAAGATTGGCCCTGGGCCTGGGGAGATAGCTTAATAAAATAGGTGCTTGCCTGGCAAGTACAGAGTCCTGAGTTCAATCCCTGGTACTGCAAAAAAAAAAAAAGGGGGGGGGGGGAGGCCTGCCCATTAGCTCAGTGGTTTAAGTGCCTGCTTAAACAAAGCAGTCAGGCTAAGGATGCTGTAGTTCAATCCCCAGATCCTCATGCCTTACTGGACCTGCCCTTAAGGCATCCTGGGCTAGCCAAAAAGAAAAAAAAAAACTTTAGGCGGGAGAGACAGCTCGGTAGAATAAGCGCTTGCCTGGCAAACGCAGGGTCCTAAGTTCAAGCCCTGGTTTCACCCCCCCCCCAAAAAAAAGTTAAAAAAAAAAAAAGATTGGCCCTTCCCTTCCTACTTTGGAGTAGAGCACTGTGTGTACCCTACAGAGGCAGAGCTGCTTACCAAGCAGAACCTAGTGGAGGCTGCCAGGCTCCTGCCACTTCCACACAGCGCGTCCTCCTAGGAGGACTTCATGGGACACAGAAGGCACTTCTGGGCCTGTCTCTCCTTCTTGTGGACACGGCCACCCTGCACAGACCCTCAGTGGGCCAGGCCCTAGGGCACAGATATGTCTTGCCTGCTCCAAAGTGACAAATGTCAGAAAAGACCTGAAAAGAACAATGACATCTCCTGGTCTAGAGAAGTGGGAAGTTCCTGTCCCGTTTCCCCCATGGATGCCATCCACCTGGGAATGATGTCCCGGAGGCGACCAGAGGAATGTGGCCAGCGGGGAGAGGGTGTGGCCCATGACAGAGGGCCACACATGTGTGAGCGCCCAGCCACAGGGCGCAGGGCACTGGGGCTCAGCCCCGGGGGCCTCAGCAGTGCGTCTGGAAGGGGCATGTACTCCTTCCCGGGCCCAGGCTCGACTCTGAAGACACTGCTCTGCTGGACGGCACTCACCTGACCCAGCACATGCACCGCAGAGCATCGTGCACGGCCCAAGGAAACAAGCACGGGACATACCACACACCACCACACACAGAGAACACACACCCACATGCCACACAGCACACAGATCCCATAGAACACATGTACCACATGCGAGACACATGCACGTGGCACCACACACAGCACACATTAGTACTCATCACACACATGTAGCACAGTCCCGGGCTCCCGTGGGGGCCTCATGTCCCTCTCTCTTGTCTCCCTCCAGCCCACACGTGCCCTGTCTGGCTGGAATCCTTTGTTTTCTCATCCCAGCAGGGAGGAAAAGGGAGCATTTGAGGTGTGAAACCAGCCCAGGAAGCAGCCCTGCTGGGCTGGGCAGTGTGCCTGCAGCCTCTCTGGTCCTTGCAGCTCACACCTCGCGCTACCCTCTCTGGAGGCTCCACTCGGTCCCTGTGCAGGCACCCATGCTGAATGTCACTGCCATAATCATTGGCTGGTGACACAATAGGGCCACCCTTCTTGGGCTTCCTAAAGGTGCTGTCCCTGACAGCTCTGTACGCAAGTCCAGACAGCTATGGCAGTGGACGTGTTATCTCCCTTTGTCCGAAGATCTGGAGGCACCACCTCTGCGCACACCCAACACCCAAACACACCTCTGCCTTCCCATGGGGTCTCGACATACTGCTGCTTGGCACTCCACGCTGGCCAGGTGAGCAGCCTCCCTGGGCCTCCCTTCCTGTTCAGCCCTCTTGTCTCAGCAGCCCAGAGCCCACCCACCCCAGGCCTTCCTGTGTCACTCCCCACCCCACAACCCCCTTTGCTAAGCAGAAACCCTGGTGTCTCCTGATGAGTACAAGTAGATTGTGTTGGGTATGATGTTTAGACCTCAGCCGGCCAGGTCCAGAGCCTCCGCCAAGGGCCCTGGTTGGAGTGAGGTAGGAAGCAGCACCCGCCACCCAGGGCAATATTCACCCTGACCTTTCACCTTTTCAATGGGTTCAGCAACAAGATCAGCACCTCTCACTAGGCACTGGCCGGACGGACGCAGTGGGGCCTTCCTGGTTCACATGGCAGCCACGGAACCCCAGCAGCCTCACAGACCCAGGTGTGGCAGCCACAGAGACGCTGTGGGGGATGGGAGCAGGGATGGGGACAGACCCAGCTCAGGTGCCCTGTTGGTGGCTTCCAGCTCCTGAGGGCCAGGGCCCTACCCCCATCCTCCCACCCCTCATCAGCCATTCCTGCTCCAGGCCAGAACCTGGAGGCAGACCTGTCACCAAGGCCCAATGGAGCCCTCAGCCACTATGTAGGCTGGGCGCCTTCCTAACATGGGCGCATTCCATGGCAGGCTGGGGGGCTTGTGTCATTAGCACAGCTGGACCCCATGTGAAGGGCATCTGCACCCCTGCCTGCTCCCCAAAACCCTCTGCTTGCAGTGTCTGTAATCCTAGGCTCAGGAAGTTCTGGCTTCCTACTTTTGAAGCCGGAACTTTCATCCCTGTAACTGAAAGTTTATAACCTCCTGTTCCCATAACATCCTATTATAAGGGAGCAGGGAGACCAAGATACAAAAGGACTGCAGCTTAACGAGCTGCCTTTGTTCTCTGTCCGCCCACCAGTTCTATGCCAAAGACCGATCCCCTTGACCAAATGCATAAAAGCTGGAACCTGTTCTTTTTCCTTTGCTCAGCCATTTTGGATTTAGCAGCGGAGCCAACGTATATCTGAAAGGAAGATCCTCCTGTTTCCTATTTAGTCTCCATGTCTCTTAAATCTCAGCATTTTTGGTGATCACAAATGGAATAGGAGACAACAGATTTGCTCTTTAACTACAGTCCTGAGATAGCCCAAACTGTAGGACTTCTGAGATCTCTGATGCCACCAAGCGAAACTTGAGCTCAGAGAGAAAAATTAGCCATCCCACAGCCCAGAGACCCTGAGGGGATCCAGGGCAATTCTGAACCAACAGCAGGCTACAGGATCCTGTAAGGGTGTGGGGACCCATGGGAGAAAATCCATTAGGACAGAAAGGGAGTCTGATCATCTCCTTGGGACATCTAGACACAAACCTAGCAATCTGAAGTGGACTGGGTCAGATTTGTAAGCCATATTCCAAAGTAGAAAATGCAGGAGTGGCCCACAATGAGAGTATTTAGTAAGCTGACCTCAGACCAAAATTGGATCACACTGACACCCTGAGCAGGGGTGACTCACTGGGGTGCTAGAGATGTGGAAGTGGCCCACTGTGAGAGAGGCTCGCAGAGAGAGTTGGAATTGCAGGAGTGGCCCACACTGGGAGGGGCTAGAGGATCCCATACCCGGGTGAAAACTGGGAAAGGGGAGGTATGTGAGTGTGAGTGAGTGGAACGAAGCATGTGAATCTGAAGGATGCGAGGGAAATACGTGTGTGTGTGTGTGTGTGTGTGTGCGTGTGTGTGTGAAGTCTAAGAGCCCAAGGTCGCCTGGGCTCAGGCGGGGGGTCAGGGTAGTGTCTCGGTTACTTTTCTCTCATTGCTGGGACAAAATATTTGACAACCAAAATTAAGAAAGGAAAGGTAATTTAGCTCACAGTTTGTGGAGGTTTCAGTCCATACTCCCCTGGCTCCAAGGCAAGGTGGCACACGGCAGAGGGCAGCAGTTCATGGCGGCGGAGTTCAAAACAGTAGGAACAAAAGGTGAGGGGCAGCGGCAGAGAGCAAGCCTCTTTCCCTCCCTTATACCGCATTCAGGCTCTGCGCCCCAGGGCGGCTCTGCACCCCAGGGCAGACACCCATAATGGCAGCATTGGACCATGAATGAATCACAAACTCCGGAAGCCTGTGCCATGACTGCATGAGGCTTTACCGGGACATCTAGACACAAACCGTCACAAGCAGGGAGGTGTTTTCATTAGTCTGAGGAAAACAGGTAATTAAGAGAACAATTTGCTCCATAACAGGCGCAGACATGAACAAGCTGCTTAGCTGTAGTGCACCACAGGCAGGCTGACAGGAAAGCAAAAAAGCCCCTTGTGAAACAGGGTGGTGTGGTGACTGCAACCAGCTCAGAGGGAGACAGAGACTAAATGAACAGCTGAGCAGCCGGCTGGGCTTGGGCAGAGGCACAAAATCAAGAGACTTAGGCCCAGCTGCTGGTGGAGGTCGGAGGGATGTTCCTTGAGCAGGGTCTCCTCCCTCCAGGCCCACTTTTGCTCAGTGTGTCTAGCCTGGTGCTCCTGCCACGCTGGAGCAACGCCCAGCCTATTGGCTGAATGGCCAAAGTCCAGCCTAAGGAAGTTTCATGGGATGAAGCAAATTACAAATCTTGGCTGGGGAGATAGCTCAGTGGTATAAGTAAGTGCCCGCTTGGCAAGCGCAAGGTCATGAGTTTGATCTCCAGTACACACACACACACACACACACACACACACACACACGCACGCACGCCCCCCCAACACAAAGTTTAACTAATTGGTAAATGTACGTTTGATTCCAATCTGAGTTGATGTTTATAATTTAAAATTTAAAACATTTCTTACACATTGCAAATTCTTGAGTTGCAATTACAGCGTTAACTTGCTTTTTTCTCTGTTAACTGTTGGTTTAAGATAAGAACACTAACTCAAGGTTACTCATGTTGGCAGTCAACTGAATTTACAAAGTAACAATATGAGAAGAAATAAAGAGACAAGAAGACACTTAAAAATCCAAATGACTGCAGAAAAATTTGTAGTAGATTTATTTTTTTCATTTTTAAAAATATATTTAGCACAGAGTCTACAGGGTCTCATTACTCAGATCAGACCCGTAGTGATCTTCCAGTGTTCAGCCTCCAAGCACTGGGATTACAGGCGTGCACCACCACGCCCAGTCTCAGCGTGCCTGGGGAGGGGTGTGGAAACGGCACAAGCTGGTGATCAAATCCTGTGTAGTAGGTTTATAATACATGAGAAAGAAATCCTATTAAGAAAGGTATAATAAATATACTTTTGGTATAAGAAGAGTTTGTAAGACAAAGCTGGAAGGCTTACATATATTGAGGAAAAGCTTGAGGAAATAGGTTATTGAAGAAAATATGTATGGTTACTTGTTAGTTTGGTAAAACTTGGGTTGCTCTTTCTAAAAACTCCCATGACAGGGACAATCTGATGAGCCTGAAACAGAAGTGCCTAAAAAGATAATTTGCACCACAAGAGAGTAGACAGGGATGAAATGCATCAAAAGCTACCCCATTAAAATATGTGCTGGCAAAGGGCCAAGGAGCTAGCTCAGTAGAGCAAGTTTAAACTTGCTTACCCAGCAAGTTTAAGGGCCTGAGTTCAATCCCCAGTACGGCAAAATAAATAAAAGTATGCTGGCTAACTTTAAAAGAGGCTACACAATGGGCCAGTGAGACAGCTCAGCAGTCTAAAGCACCTGCTCAGGCAAGCTTAGGCAAGCACAGGGACTGCGGTTCGGTTCGATCTTCAGCACCACATGCCGCACGAGTCCCATTTCCAGGGCACGCTGAGGCAGCCACAAAGAAAAAAAAGAAAGAAAAGGAAATGAAAGGAAAGAAAG